CAGCTTAATTCTAATTCTTACCTAACCCGACATAATTCTCATGACTTGATATTACATGCCATTGCCATTTTTCTTTTGTTTGCTTCAAAAGGAAGATTTAAATTATTTTTAAGCAGTCATGTGGAAAGGCCTACAATCTAGAGATTAGTCTTTTTGTTCTCTCTTATTTTTTTCCTTTTCTTTTTTACCATAATAAGAAACAAAATCAAGGATAAATCCATCCACCCAGGAGGGCACCAGAGTTGGCCACATCTTCCATAAGATTAACTGCTAAACATACACAAATCACATTCTAGAATTACCTGTTCGAGGGAAGACGCAAGATCTCCAAGACCATATCTTCAACACTCTTCTGACCTTTGTGCTGACCAGAGAACTAGGAAGGACCAAAAAGGGGAGGAAAAAAAGAAGAAGAAGAGGGATTACACCAAATAAGATATTAATAAAGTGGTCAAAAATAAACTCATCATCTATAAATAGTCCTCTGACTTGATTTGAAGGGGCAGCTTGATAACCTCTTGTGGGATTAATAGGTAAGGAATTGTTCATAGATTGCTGATTCGGCACACTATTCTGTAAATTTTATGGTGTATGATAAGATAACTTAAAAATAAAAATAGTGGACAGCACGATCTTGCAAGAATCATGTATGCACATTTATGTCATGTCAAACCCAGATATAATTTGCGATATTCTAAACTAATACCCGTATCCTGGTATTATAGAGATGAGCGCATATACAATCGATGAAGTGACTTGCCATCTCGTTAAAGTCGCTCAAAAGCCTGGAAAAAAACACCAGAATAGATTTCAGAAGTAAGAAATATGGAACAAACAAATACAAGCAAATACGATAGGACTTTGCTAATGTAAAAGAACTAGCTATCAACCCATTATAAAAGCATTCATGGAGAATCAATGATAACCCAGGAAATTCATTCAAATAAACCTTTCCATATCATATAAATGTCAATAACTGGAATTTCGAATGAGCCGGGGCAAAAAAAAAAAAAAAAAGAACGCATAGAGAAATCTTGGGAAGTGATTCAAATGAAGATTAAACTATTAACAAAATAACAGCTTGGTCTCAACATTTACTCGATGACAGGATCGTTAGCCCACTTACGCTTATAATAATAGGACTAGTCATCCAAGTGACATAATTTTGTAGACTTGAAGCAGAGGCCAAAGTGACATAAACAAGGTGTATTGATTGGACTATTCATCCTACCCAATTTATTACTGCCGTAAAGAATTGTCTCTAAAAGAAAACGGGGTAGAAACAGGGAACTAGAGCTGAAACCAATAGACTGGCCAATTGTACAAGGGTCTAATGCATGAAGGGTCAGATGGTGGTTGAGGAAGCGGCTGGAAGACACTATTTAAGAAGGAAACCTGCCATGGGAAAACGGGGAAGAGAACCTTTAAGATAAAAATTAGGTAGTGAGCTAGATTCTCGAAAGCTAGCACTGGTCTTGTGTCATTATCCTCTTATTAATTTCTTCTCTTGTTCTGTCTGCTCTTATAGTGGCCAGATTGCTCTGCTATGTTACTAATTTCTCGTGCTGAATGAAGGAATCTTGCCAACTCCTGTCTTAATTTCTGGTTTGCATTTGTGATTGGTCTGGAGGTGTGTAACTGAAGTGTGTGCTTGGTCAGTCGCGTTTTACTGAATCTTGTTGGCACTGGCATGTGTCTGTGTGAGACAGTGAATTGGTCTCTGTAACCTGTCCAAGGAGTGCTTCTGCTTCAATATCAAATATAAGTGTCTTGCAGTGTTCTTTGTGTTATTCTAGCAGAATTTAGCAAGGTTCCTATCGTATGAATTTCTCAAAACCCAACCATCTTCACTATAGGCTGGCACTCTGACGGTATTACGTATGGAAGAAAATAAAGAAATATTGAACTGCTAGACTTGAATAATTAGACTTGATATTAATGACACACCTAAAAGAGAATACATTTAAGTTCCTTTTTCCCTGAAAACCTTTCAAGTGTCCATGTAAGCGCACATACATTCCATCCCTGAAACCAAAAAAAAGAAAAGGAGTTACTATATTTCATGGAACGAAATAAACGATACGTTCAAAAAGAGGTGGCAACTAGAAACATTAACTTTATAAACCATCTCACTGCAGAATGGCAGATAATGTTTGGACATGTAATGTTCTGAAATTCTGATTAGCAAGAAGATCATCAACTCATAAATCCATATTCATTGTGTAAAGTTACAACGCTAAAAAGTTTGATCGCAATGATCACATAACCGAGAAAAGGTTTTGTTTAAAGAGGAGACTAATGAAAGAAATTAAAAAGGTTATGAAACTAAGAAATCGTTAAAAAATAAATCACTAAGCGAACACAGCATTAGACATAAGCAGCAAAATTACCTGAGACCCTCCGCTTCATTGGTGTCTACATCTTCCTGGAGCCTGCTGATGCAAAATTACCTGTCACTGTAAAAATTTAAAAGACCAGGAAAGTAAAGTAAAAAAAAAAAAAAGGCAAAACACCGACAGATAAAAAAAAATCCACCATTTACTGCACTCAACTCTTCTAGTCCCATCATCTAGTACAAATGTAACATCAGTAATCCTTTCAGCTTTGTTGCACACCCTTCCTACAAGAGTGACATAGATACGATTTTAACTCAAATAATCAGAACAAAAGAAAAGAAGACCACAGCCAACGGTCAATTTGCAGTTGAAAAAAGCTCACATTATTAACATCCACGCCGTCGACAATCATATTAGACTTATCATCACTTGACTGAAATGCATCATTTATCTGCTTGACCCTCAGAGGAAGCAATGACTGAGCATCACGATTCTGCAAAAGCGGATTATCAAGTCGGTTCAGAAGTTAACTTTCAGCAGTAGCAAAGATAACTCGGCCAATAATTTTCACCAATATTCCAAAATATAAGCAAGCCAAGACGCAGCAAAATTACGTGGTTGCTAATTGCTCGGAGAAATTCAAATAAAAAAAAAAAAAAGAATAGATTGAACCAACTGTCGCAGTTCAGTTATTAGCAAACCAAAGCACTAATCGCACTTGCTAGAACATAAAGTGAGAGAGAGAGAGAGGTATGCCAAAGATATGGACCTTGGAGTAGGAGAAGGAAGGTTCATGGCCTTGAGCTGCCTGAGACGGCATAAAACCACCGCCGGCGAAGGATGCGCCGCCGTCGAAGTCGCTCGAATGGATGTTGTTCTGGCTCTGTGTGCAGTTCGGAAATCTTAACCCTAATAGCAGAGAGCAGTGAAACAGAACGCACTATTCCAGACATTTGAAACTGAAATTTCCATGGAGCACCTATGACTGGCGTGGTTTTAAATTCTTCGGTACGAAAATCAATTAGTTCGTGCCATTCTTCTTCCACTATCCTCCAGCCTGAACTAACTCCGCGTGCTCTTATATTTTCGTCTCTTCCATTTGGGTTAAAAAAAAAAGATTAAAAAATTAAAATTAGTTTTTTGCTTGGGTCTTTTTTGAGTAGGATGGTATCGCTGTCTCAGAGTATTCCAGCACAAACGGCCAGACTAATCCCAGGTGCACTCGCAGGTATCGAGCCCATGACATGGTAGGGAAAGCGCCTTGCGTTCCCGTTTGTGACCAATCGGACCCGACCCTTACAGGCTTTGTTTGGGTCTTTTTATTACAATGCTACAAGTACTATGCATATTGATATTTTGCATTCCCTTATTCTAAGCCCAAATTCTTTAAATTAACTTTTTTTTATTTATAGTATTTTATTTTAGCCATAATTTTGAATCAATTAAGCTCAATCTCTAATGTAATTTATATATATGTATTGTTATCATTTTACTTTTTTTCTTTTTATTTCAAATTTTATAACTTTCACCGTATTATCTTTTCAACTTACCTCTCATATCATTATCATTGTTTCTATTATATTTATTTTCTTTTTATATCAAATTCTAACTTAGTTAAAAGTTAAAACTATAGGTTACTTTAATAAAAATATGAAAATATTTTAAAGACAGTTGATACTCATATCACTGATTTATTAGGTGGGAATAAAATTTGTAAGTACAGCCTTAATTAAATATTTCCTTTCAACCCTTCAAAACTAGCTCTTGTGAACGTTTCTAAGCAATTTAGCTTGAAGGTTTTTTTATTTGTGATTTTTTTTAATAAAGCTAGACAATTTAATCATAAAAAGCATCTTAATTAGTGTACTTTTAAATGACCAATGCCCAGTTAAGAACCATTAATATTTGGTTATCTCAGCACAAATAAGTGTCACGGCCATCTATATATATATCTTTTTCATTTTTTATTTTTTTAACAAGTAATAACTTAATTTTCATGAATCAAAATCCCTGAATTTCAACATAATAAAGTGTGAAAAGACCCAAGTCTTGGGATTTGCATGATGATTAAGATATTGAGAATACTAGAGCTCATCTTTCAAATATATAGTAAGCCCCCATATACATTGCAAGAAATAAATTGAATTAGATTTTTAATCCAAGTCTGATCGCGGAATTAGCTCGTGATTAAAATAAATTTAAGGGGAAAAAGAAGAACTGAGATTGAAAAGATATTGTACATAAAATGGACAGCTTCAATTTTACAGTTTTATTATTATGAGTTAATGACTAATTTTGATTAAAAAATACTAATTATTAAAAAGTATTAAATTTATAAAACCAAATACAAAAACAGCATGGACTTTTTTCGAGACCAGGTAATTCTAAGAAACATTATAAACCAAAAAAGATTAAAAAAAACTGACTAGGAAAAAGATAAGCATTTAATCATTTATTGTCCTGCCCTGCGGCACCGTTTTACTGGATTTTATGGCTTCACCTCTTCTCCTTTCAGAAGCTAAGGCTGAGGGATTTCGTTTTTTGGCATCTTCTCTGCATTTCGGACAGGGGCTCAAACTGTTTTAGGAGAATAAACGAAAGTAAAATCTAGTAGAAAAAGAGAGTAAGTACTTGACTAATCTGTTTCTTAATAGCCAGAGACTCTAAGGGATAAAAATGAGTTGTCATTACACGAGCGATATGGTGGCTAATCTACTTATAGACTGAAATTACATTAAAATAATTAAATAAAATCCAGAAATAGTTCTTAAAATCTGGGGACTGACTCCAACAGCTAAATCATAACAAATTGGATGTTGGGATCCTCTTAATAGCAATATAGATATTTATTTGACTATTAGAATCTCTGAAACAATAATTCAAATTATGCAATAGCAAAATAAGGAATTTGAAAAGAAAAAAAAACCAAGGAAATACTAATTAATCTTCTGTCGCTTCCTCCTTCTAACATAAGTCCGCATGGGCTTCTCATCAATTTCTCGGCCTACAAAAACAGAGAAGCAAAACTATTAACCTTGAAATCTCTCTAAAGAATAAGGTAACTAAAATTAACAATAATCTATTGACTCTTTTCTCTTCTTGAAACTAAAACTTTAATCGAATTTAATTCTTGAAACCGGTGCAAAACAAGACAGTTTTTAAGAAGCCAACAATACCTGGTTATGTGGGATGCTCCATCTGTTCATCAAATGACTCGTAATATTTCAAGTAAACTGCTGTCCTTTTCATAGTGAACCCATTACCAAAAGCTACAATTACCTCCATCTCATCATCTGAGTCAATATTTGACATTATTTCCTTCAACTCTGCTTCTTCAAATGAAGTCAGTGACTCTTGCCTGTAGTGCAGAGTGGTTTTCTTTGTATAATTTATGATCACTACACTAACACAAGATTCACATGCCTTGCTACCCAAATCACCTGAAGGGAAATATGCACAACAGATAATCAGCCCTTTTAAATCACAACCGCTAACTCGAGGTACTTTAAACTTCACAGAAGCTCTTTCACCCTTGAAACTTTGCCAATAGGGATAATTGTCACCAGGAAGGACACAACCATCACCATAATTCCTGGGAGTCAATCCCTGCTTAATAACACAAGCAGCAGCTTAGTCCAACTATACAATTAGGCAAGCAGAAAGGTCATTTCCAATTTTATTAAAGAATTGCATGTTATAGGAATGAATTTTGCTTCTTGTCAACCAAAAAAAAAAACAAATTAAAAAGAGAACCTGTGAGATAATCTCCAGAAGAGTAGCAGTGACTTGGTCATTCTTTCCAATTTGAATTAGAAGATGCTTCAAACAGTTTTCTGATCTTGAGATGTGAACCTGACTATGATGACCAGTTAACAACGAAGATTCAACCTCAAAGATTTTTGAAGTATTTGGTATTGTTGTCATGTCCATGCAAATTCTGGCATGAAACGACTCACAAATTTTTGCAGCACCTCGAATTACTTCAGGGTCATTCTCTGATCTGATTCCCAACAAAAGGCTTCGTAGCTTTTCAGGGTTATTACACACAGATGAAAGACCAGGGATATTGCCATTCAATATATCCGAGGAAATTGGCATGCCCACATATGATGGAATAAGAGATAAAGGATTATTTGTTGGGGACATCCTCGACCAAATGAGAGAAGGAAACACATCACGTGATAATCCCCTGAAACCACAAAGAGATACATATCCAACACTTTTTAACCTCACTAAAGAAAAGGGCACTTGTGTTATAGCGGTGTCATCAGCAATCAGAGTTGTCAAGGAATCCATTTGCTCTATATCTTCTTCTAACCTTTCAATGCTTGCACAACTAGACAGAATAAGTGTTTTTAGTGATTTCAAACTATAAATACTTTTTGGGAGAGTGTGAAGGCTAGTACAATCCTTCAAGTTAATTAAAAGGAGTTTATTGGCATGCCCGACGGTAGGATGAACCATGGCCAAATTTGGACAATTTTTAAGTATCAACTTTTCAAGATTTGGTAGTTTGGAGAAATCAGGAGTCTGCATCAAGAAAGGGGAGTGACTACAATTGAGGATCTTTAGCCTCTCCAATAACTGCAAGAAAAGAACATTCAAGGGAAAATTAGTGAAGAAACTCGTAAAATAAAGTACATCAACAACCATGAATGTTTGAGAGTGTCACTCTTGAATTTCGGTACCACTGTTTAAGGCCAATTCTAAAGCCTAGCATTAGAGTAAAAATAAGCATTAAGGCAATTTAAAAGCTTGAAAACCACCTTAATGTTTGTGTTTTACATCTTATAAAAGAGTAAACCAATCAGAAAACGATAAGTACGACATTGAGTGCTTTAATTTATGGGTTTATCATACAGTTGGGTAGAAAGCATGTAAATGATTTTGACATTCCACTGACAGGTTTGATCAACTTCTATAAACATTGATTAACCCTTTTGTGAAATCCTTCATCTCAGAAAAAGTATTATTTGTAAACACTTAACTGGAAATGAATGCTTAAATTATCTACATATGAGCTCCTGAAAGCGAAATACAAATAAGTCATTATGATGATGGAATGGCTAATATCCATAGCAACGGACATAAAAATGAAAAATAAATTGAAGAAAGATTCAGCAGGTATATTCAAGAAGAGTGAGGAAGGAAATTTATTAAGAAGTTATTATGAGAAAGAAATGTCCGAAATAAAGACCCATCTAGAAGTTATACGGTGTAACAGAATTTAATATCAACAGACAAAGTATACATACCTGGGGCTCTCTCCAGACTTGCCTAAGGCTACTGTACTTTAACTCAATAGCAACTAAATTTTTCTGATAAAGGTTGGCAGGGATGTATTTCAAAGGAAAGCCACGCCAAGAAAGCCATCTGACATCTCTACTAATGTATTTATAGTCTCCATGAAGTTTCACATTATCAAGGCGGAGCAATCGGAGGGTCTTCATCTTCTTAAATGCTTCGGTAGAAAAACGATATTTATCGGTTTGTGACAAATTCAAAGCTAGCCCCTCAACCACTTCTGTACCCTGCAAATAAAGAGCAAAAATAAAATTAAAGTTTGTACCTCTGTTATTCATTTATTGAAAGGCAAAATGTAAACCAATGTCACAAGCAAGCAACTAAAACAGTGAGTTTTAAAAAACACGTAATTTTTGCCGAGGAATAAAATTAACTACAAATATACCTACTTTCACAATTCATTCACATTCAATTGGCTTCCCATGCCATTTTACTTTTTAGAAAGAATGATAAATATAGGACAGGAAAGCCCTTACAGTATGCTTTGATAATACATTGAGCACATCTTCATGAAACCATAACCTACTACGCTTTCCAAGCTCTTTTGGTGACTGTTCTCGAACTACCTCTCTCCCCATGTCTTGCAGCAAATCATGCATGCCAAGCTTGTTATTCTCATCAATAGTTACAAGGCTCCGCTCCACAAGGACACTTATTCCAATGTCTGGAAAAAGTCCGCTACCATCCAATATCTGTGTCACATCACCCCTATCCATCCCAATAAAGAAACAAGATATATCAAGGAAGATTTCTTTCATCATATCATCACTTAAACCATCAAAGCTTATTTTTAGCTTCTTTTGTATCTCACCATTGGGGATTCTTTTTAGTTTCTCCAGTACACTTCTCCACACTTTCTCTTCCCTATCAAATAAATAGGAGCCAAGGATTTCAAGGGCTAGTGGTAGTCCTCCACAATAAGCAACTATATTTCTCGAAAGGTCAATGAATCCTTTTTTAGGACGTGGTTGCTTAAATGCATGCCAACTAAAAAGCTTAATAGATTCACTTTTGTCCATGTTCCTTATTTTATGTACATGATCCACTTTAAGAAGGTCGAGCGGACGCTTATCTCTTGTAGTGATGATGATCCTGCTTCCAGGACCAAACCATTCACGACTTCCAACTAAAGCATTCAGTTGCCCATCCTCATTCACATCATCAAGTACAACAAGTGCTCTCTTATGGCAAAGAGATTCCTTTAATATGATTTTCCCTGAATCAATGCTACGTATTTCCATCATTGTCGTTTTACAGATTTCTGAAAGAAGCTGTTGCTGTAAGTTAACTGGACCATTATCTCGCCCCCAAACTTCCCTAATGTTTGAAAGAAAACTTCTGCTCTCAAATGTTCGACCAATTTTATTATAGATGCCTTTGGCAATGGTTGTTTTACCCTCGCCGCCCATCCCCCATATCCCTAGCAGGAGAACATCATTTATTGAATGTCTTTTTGATTCTTCAATCAAATCTTGCAAACGAGAGTCCACTCCCACAGGATGGTTAGCAATAAACAAGTCTTTCTTGTCCAATATTTTACAAACATGCTCAACAATATTTTTGATATCCTCACTTTCATTCCTGAATTATAAAAAATATAAAAGAAAATGAGCACCTATAACAAAAGCAAGAGTAGAAATAAAGTTTGTCAAGCTATTAAAAGCAGCATGCATCAGAATTAGAGAAGACGTTATGAAGAAACTAAAGGGGAACCCTATTGGAAACTGTCACACCAAAATACCCTTAGAACCGGAAACGTCGATATCAAACTTTAAGTAGCAAACTAAAGAGAAAATATCAAATGAAAGTTCGTCACATAAAAGCCTGACAGCTTCGATATGACCAAGACTAAAGTTGAAAATTTATTCCACAACAGAACATTCGATCAGGCCCGTGTGAAAAAGCACTTGTGAAACACTTAATCAAACAACTAAAATCAAGGGAGCATGGGCTATTTTTTTGCTTCTTTTTTTTTGGGGGGGGGGGGGACTCGGAATAGTATGCTACGATTTCCTTTTATCAGCAACAACAATAAGCAGAAAAATTTAATTACAGGTCTACAGTGTGAGAGGATCACCACAAATCACTAGTAGGGAAAGTGAGAATAGAGAAAGAGAGATGATGAACCCACACTAAGATGTGAGCCCCTCATCGCTATTTTCCTCAGTCTCACCTCTTGTCACCACAGGGAACCAGAGTCCATCAACAATTGACAAAGGTTTCATCCGGTTTCAAATTGGATTCCTTAAGGGAGGTAACTGAAACAAAAGGGCCCCTTTGGTACAAAACGGGAAATCAAAAGGGAGAACTCTCTTCCTTAAAGATGTAAAACTTTATTTCCTACAAAGCCATTTGCCATCCACTAAATATGGCAAGAACACTTTCTCTCACCTTCTTCCATTTTTTAAATAACTTTTCAATGTACCAATCACCAAACGCACCTTAAATTTTATAGGAAACAAATAGAAGGGAGAGATCTTTCCTTTACTAAAAATATATTTTATCTCTTGCTTTTACAGACGATGGCATTTGCAAGACCCTAACAATTAATCGTTGCTGAAATATTAGTCCTTACTTCAAGGAGCAACTTTTAACGCCAGGGAAAAAATTGCAGTGGCTAAGAATAAAACACATGTCAATTTGACCAAATTCGAAGCAATCGTTTAAAACAAAACATCATTTGTGCTTGTGAAATCGCTATACTGTAAAATTTCAGTTACCTATCAGAACTCCACAACAGCACATTGATTATATGTGTATCAATCTAACACTTTCTTTGATAATGTAATGCTGTTATTTGTAAGACATAAAATTTTTGCATATACAACATTACAAGTGATTTGCTAGCAAAGAAAATCACGTGACTAATGGTGCACATTGCAGCAAGAATCTACTGTTCGTGTCTGTTTAGAATTAGCAAAATCGAAAGGAAATAGAAGAACGAGATATATAAAAATTACTTGGAATTGAGCACAACAAATCCGGCAATGCCGCCAGCTTCACGGAGATCTGTCCTCCACCTCGACACTTCATGTTCTGTGGGTGAACTTCTTTGTATAAGATCTCGAAACGCTTCTCTTAAACTTGAGCCTTGATTGCGAACTTCTGACGGATCCACGCCATAGAACACAGGCAGAACTACTTGACCCTGTGCTCTGCGAAGCTCCATGATTTTTGAGAGCTCGTCGAGGCACCATCTAGAGCCAGCATAATCTTTGGAGAAGATAATGATTGAAACGGTAGAACGTTCTATTCCATGTGACAATTCGATTGAGATACTATTCCCCCTAGGAAGGTCCGCATCATCTTTGAAAACAACAATTCCAGCACTGGTTAAAGAGGAGTAGAGATGAGAAGTGAAAGACGCCCGAGTGTCTTCCCCTCTGAAGCTCAAGAACACATCGTAACGAGCTCTTCTAGCAAGCCTTCAAAAAATAATATTTAAATAAAAAACATTAACCAGACGTAAATAAAACATTCACGTTGCAAGAATGAAAACGTAAATAAAACGTTCTTTAAACTACGTATAATCCTTGACCAAAAAAAAAAAAAACTACGTACAACCGAATTAAACAGTTACCAAGGCTGACGGATGGTAATAGATGGTCCAACGAGATGGTCAAAGAGGATCATGAACCTTGGCTCATCAAAAGTTTTACAGCCCCCAAAAACTCATAAAATCATATAATATAAAAATTTATATATATGTAGTAAATTTAGTTTCCAAACCATCTGCTTGTTGCAACATAAAGTCGCTTGTTAAAAATCTAATATAACTTCTTGTTTCAGTTACATTTACCAATCAATCAATTCTCTTTGGAAACTCGTTAACAGGTTCTTATAGAGAATTGACAAGCGTAGCTAAAATACCGACTCTTAGAGTTTTAACAAGGGCACTTCATACTGTAACAAGTAAACAAGATTGAATATGGCAAAAGTATTGCTAAGCTCTTTTACAGGTAGATGATAAATTATATTTGAACTTTAACAAATGCGCTTCATGTTGTAACAAGTAACCAACATTGAATATGTAAACAGCGATGTTAATAAATTCCCACAGAGAACTGATAAGCAGGCGTAATTGAAATGATAATTTACATTAGATTTTTAATAATTGCATTTCATGTGGTAACAGGCAAATGATTTAGAACCCAAGTTTATCACATATAAATTTTTGCACTATATAATTAAATGGGTTTGATAGCTTATTGATCAAAATGTTCTAGTGAATCAAGAGGTCATTGCTTCAAAGACATCATTGGCCACTTCGGTGGAACATTTGTTCTCTGGTGACCTTGGCAAAGGGGCTCCGGTGGTCAATGACCGATAATAAGGTTCCGGCAGCCGGTGACAAGAGCTCCAGAAGTGGGTGGCCTTTAAAAAAAAAAAATGAAGGAAAGACATTTTGGTCATTTACCATCAAACTATAGTTTTGAATGAACTATTTTGGTCATCCAACATTATTTCAATTTGATCCTTACAATGAAATACTAGGATTTTTTAGGACTTGTTGTAAATTAAGGTTATGTTTGAATTGGTGGTGGAGTGAAGAAAAGCCACGGTGCAAACTTGAAAATGTGCTTTAGACCTATTTTTAACATTTTAGGCTATGTTTGAATTAGCAGCCCGAAAGATACCAGAAGAAAAAAAAAATTAACTAATAAAATTTAATAGTGAAAGTCCATTTGGAACCTAATTCATCCTTATCCTTAGTCTTCAATTAAACTCTGAAAAAGTGCAAAAAAACAATAATAATATCCATACGGTAAAGGTCACATAAAGATGGGATTAATATAACTTTTGCCCTAAAATTCAAGTCTATTTTGACATTGGTCCCTCAAATTTCAAAACATGATTTTAGTTTCTAAAATTTAGTTCGTCTTAAAACACTGGTCTCCAGAGATATAACAATCTTGAAATATGCCAAAATGTCATAAACAACATTAAAGTGGTGATTGTGTACTTATTAGATGGCACCTAGCTGAATCTTGGGTAAAAAACAGAAGGGGGAAAAAAGAATAAATCCTCAAAATGCGGCTGTGTATCTATCTCAACTTATCAAGTATTTGGAATTCCACGAAAAAGACGTTTTAGTCCGTCAAATTGATTGGAGTATGTAGTAAGTCTTCGTATATCTTAAAACATATCTAAACAAGCCTTAATAAGTTCTAACCATCCAATTGAACCCCTTACAATAAGAATAATATTATCTATAAAGAACAAGTGGGATATTGGGGACCATTTTTTGTGAGACAAATTGGCTGCCACTCCTCAATCTCCATTTTTTCTTGAACAAGATGGGCCAACCTCTTAACTGCGAAAGACCGATGCTTAATTAGATTCGAGTAACGTGGCATTAAAATCATCGCAAAGCATCCATGATTTATCAATGTGCTCTCCCAACCTTGAAAGTTCTGTCTACAGGTTTTGTCTAGCAAAGACGTTGGGTGCAGCATAAATAATGGTCATGAACCATGAGTCTCACTTACTATTTTCTATTCTTAGATGAATAAATTATATGTGTCTTTCTAGAACCTCTACTCTTCGAACACTTGCACCTTAAAGACACCAAATTCCTCTACTAAATTCTCTAGTGTTAATGAAGATAAAGTCTTGGAAGCCAAGATGAGATATTCATTTCTCAGCTTACTTTTATCCGACGAAGTTTCAAGTAAACCTAGAAAATCCAGATGATAATGCTTTTGAAGCTCTAACATTGCACCAATAAGTAATGGTCATCAATCGTTCTAGTTTCCTTTTGAAAAGCATAATCACGGTCCTCCGTCTTGTGTATTAGACAATATAATAATCATTACTAAGAGGCACAACCTTCATTAGTTCCCATGGTCTCCACATCCTTTTCACTCAAATCCAAGAGAATGTTCCTCGACAATTGAGCTACTAGCACTTTGATAATCAAAGAATTCAACCAAGGCTAACACTAGGTAGTATAACACTCCACCAGCGAGTTTGGTATCCGTATCCAAGTGGCTATTTTCCTTTGTGCTCCTAAATATTAAAGTTAGGTCCCTAACATTACGCCAATAAGTAATGGTCATCAATCATTCAAGTTTCCTTTTGAAAACCATAATCTCAATTCTCCCGACTTGGGTATCAGACAATATAATAATCATTACTAAGAGGCACAACCTACATTGGTTCCTGGGGCCTCCATATCCCCTTCACTCAGTCCAAGAGAATGTTCTTCAACAAATGAGCCCCTAGCAATATGATAATCAAAGAATTCAAACAAGGCTAACATTAGGTAGTATGCTGCTTGGCAGTTACCACTAACATAAGATACTTACTTTTACTGTTAGAGCTCCATATTCCTTCTTCATCTGAATCATCCTTTCCTTTCTAGCCTCCATGTTTTTGTTCTTCTTAGCAAAGAATTCTTTCCATCCATTCACAATGTCTTCCTGTTCATCATGTTTCACAAGGCACCAAGAACATCATGGTGAAAGAAGCTTTTCTTTGTAAGAGAATGCACCCAAAGACTTATTATTAGTGTCTTCTCTCCTACATTCCTAATGTCACCTTTTCCAAACACAAAACTCGTTAGCATTAAAGGTCGATCCCAATCCTTGTCTAGCTCTCCCCCTTCCCTTCTATCCCCATTTTCACTCTCTTTACTCTCATCCACCGCCTTTCCGTCACCCTCCGTTCTCTGCTCTCACCTCTCTTGCTAGTTCTTTCTAGTGCTGCATTTTGAAAAGGTGGCCTTGCAGCTGAGACAATTCCTCTATGGCAGTCGAAACCAAACATTAGCTTACAGGCAAACTGAAGTAACTGAAATAATTTAGTTCAATTATTTAGTTTATTCGGTTTTAGGGCCTTTTATATTGCAATAAACTTTTCTAGTTATTCACTATATTAGAAACTTAAATTAAAAATATCACTGGATTATATTGAAGAAACAATAGCAATTTAACTAATATTGGGTTTCTCATGCAAAAATTCAATGATTACATGTACTCGTGCAGCTTCAATATTAAAATCTTGGAACAAAATCAAATATATATTTAAAGCTAGATGTCTCAAGGATTTAAGGAGAGATGAATCTTGAGACATGATAGCAAGCTTAACCAAGTGTCGACTACAAGGAAATGGAGAACAGAGACTGTGATGCGGTGAAGAATTTAATTAGACTAAAGAGAAAGGCTATGATGGAAGCAACTAATCTATGACTAAATAAGAAGATTGAACCGAAGGAGAAGAATGCGAGGGGAGCAACTAAGCTATGAAGCCTGATGCGATGTGGGGTGATGACTGATGAGGAGGAAGATGCGGCTGCCATATACAAGATAACAAGTAATCTAACTTTAGCTTCTAGAGTTTAAGATATATTGGGCTAGGTTTAGATATATGCTTGGGTCTCTATGTCACATATAATAATATGGTAATTAGGAATAAGAATATTTCTAAATATTTAAGGGCCAAAAATGATAAGGAGAAAAAGAAGAATTTTGGTGAAAAATAATTATTATGATTTTCCAAGTCAATTATGAAAGTTTGACTAATTAAAAAAAATTTGTCAAAAATAATTATGAAAAAATATTTTCAAACCTCAGAAAATTAAGAAAAAATAAGGATAATATTTCTTGAGAATTATATGAAGTTATACAATTGGTTTTGTGACCAAATTACTCTTAAAAAAGTTACAAAGTAATTTAAGGGTGATTTAGGCTAATTTAAGGTCTTTTATTTGAAAAATTCCAAATGAATATTTTTAAGGAGAATAAAATTCTAAGAAAATTCCTATGATATCCTAGAAAATTATAAGAGATTATAGAATTAAAAGGAGACCCTCAAATATCCAAGATTTTTCTAATTCTTTTGACAAGTGGAAAAAAATCACTAATGAGAAGAAAATTAATTTTCCTTTTTATTTAATTAATGAGAATTGAGATTGAGACAAAACGGGCATTTTGAAAAGAGAAAAATGAAGAGAATAAATTATAGATCTGATAGAAAATAATTACAGAGACCGGAATACTGTAATTATAGAAAAGAAGTTAAACTCAGACTAAAAGTGCACCGATAAAGTAAAGATTAGAGTCTTACACTTTCTTTGGCCCACAATTAGCCAAGTGTCAAGCCCTTAATGGAGAGTATTTAAAGTTGCCAAGTGGCAAGTCTTAAATGGAGAGGATCTTAACTTTTGGTAATTAATTACATTTAGATTTTCTTAATTAGGAAAGAGATTGCAAGAGTAAGTAGGGGATTGACACTTGGACTTTCATCAAATGTGGAGATTGAGATATTTTGTCATTAAAAGAGAGCTCTCCTCCTCCTA